TCTCTTGCCATGTTCTATAGTCAGGTTCAGTCCAGGATCTTTTGCCATGTTCTCTCGCTAGGTTCTGTCTCTAGGTTCTGTTGCCAGTTTCTGTCCAGGATCTTTTGCCATGTTCTTCCAGCAAAGTTCTTCTGTCTCTAGGTTCTGTGTAGGTTCTGTCTTCTAAGTTCTGTCTTCTTAGTTCTGTGTTCTAAGTTCTGTGTGTTGCTGTCTTGTTACATCTGTATTTATACCAGTTGATTCAATCCTATCAATCTCTATTCCAAAGGTTAGGGCGTTTCTTATCTCCATTCCAGGGAGTAAAGATTATGTAGCTTAAGCATGATTGTTCATAGTTAAAGTGATTAATTACCCGCCTGGCACTTAGTTAAGAGGTTTTATTCCCTCCCTAACTTCAGGGGAAAATCCCTACCTGGGGAAACAACCTTTCTCAGAGAGGAGACCTTGGTTAAAACACATAGTGCCAAGAAGGTGAGCAAACATATTAAGAACAGTATGCTATATATGCCGGGTCCCTTGAAACAGCAAGGATGGACTGGCTCCTGGCAGACTAGGGACTATCTAACAAAAGCAGAGAGTTTCAAACAGTAGTTTCATACAGGACGGCAGTTTCTATGCTTCAGTACTCCTGATATAAATAGACATTAATTAACTTATTTACTTCCATTATTTTGAAAAGAGACTTAGAATGTTGAGTGAAATGAGATATCATTCAGATCGCCAGTTGCAGGGCTGGGATTGGAAATCAGTTGTGCCTGGCTTTAAAGCCAAAATAAGTATGTGTATGTGTGTGTGTGCATGCCTGTGTGAAATGCATTTTTACATAGTTTTCATGTATGAAAGGTAATGAGCCTCTAACAGTCTTATGGAGAATGCATCTCAGAGCACACATCACAGGCTAAGCTATAAAAGGCAGAGCAATAGGTAAGTATAGGACTTGAACACCTTTAATTTGTAAAGATTTGGGAGACTGGGCTTTCCTAAAAGTGTTAAAAATGTTAACCAGATAACAGCGGGGAACAATTTGTAAAACACCTTTATTAATATATAGATATACAGATCGAATGTTACTCATTGGAGGTCTGAGAAGTCAGACAAAGTAGTTCTCTCTCCCATTAGTGACCACATCCCGAAATGCAGTATCTTGTCAGCCCCCATTATCCGCAAATAGATTTAGATTGTGTCCCTTCTGCTTTCCTAATTGTTGTAGATCATCACTGCCAGTCCCATTTTTCTAATCTAAAAATATTATAACCCCTGCTTTATACAAATCAGACAAACAGAACTCCACAAGATAAGTTGCTAATATTGCATGGGAAGTGGACTAGAAATAAATGAAACTTGGCATTTGAATCTGTAAAATCACATGGAACCCGCTCTTTCTGGACCTGGCTTGCACTAGGCATTTTCTGATTCCCTGGTGCTATGCCATTTGCAATTATCTGCTCCCAAGCAGTTCTGTTTTTATCTATCCATAGCTGGATGATCTCCAGGGCACTAGCTATAAGGACGTGGGGAGAAGGTATATTTATAATTTTTCAAAAGCAGTTTTCATAGTCAACTAATAAGGAAATCCAGTTGTGCTCATTATAAGATTTCAGTGAAAGAAAAAGTCAAGCAGACGGTGGGTTTTTAGCTTCTGTAGTAAATAATCTAATTTAATAAAAGAGAAACATGCAAATTGACCACACCTCCTCTATACCCAAGCCACGCCCACCAGCCAATCAGAGCAACTATATGCAAATTAACCCAACCAAGATGGTGGCCGGCAGCCACAGAGTTGGAGCAAGCAGGAGGCTTGGTTACCCCGGCGATGGAGGAAGCCACGCTTCCTGCCTGCCCTGGCTGGCTGTGGCCTCCACTCAAGGCAACAAAGTTTCAATTATAGAAGATAAATAAATCCCAGATACCTGTTTCCAGCCAGCCTCCACTGGGAACTTGGGTGGCTGGGGGCCATGGCCATCCTGCAAACAGCCATCAGCCCCTCACCCGGGCTGGCCAGGCACCCCAATGGGACCCCTACCCTGAAGGGGGTGTGACCAGCTGCAAACAGCCATCAGCCCCTCACCCAGGCTGGCCACAACCTTATGGGGTGAGGATTCCCGCTGGGGGGCTTGGCCAACCTGAAAACAGCCCTCAGCCCCTCACCCAGGCTGGCCAGGCACCCCAACAGGACCCCTACCCTGATCCGGGACACCCTTCAGGGCAAACCAATTGGCCCCCACCCATGCACCAGGCCTCTATCCTATATAATAAAAGAGTGATATGCAAATTGACCCTAACAGCAGAATTACTGGGAATGACTGGTCACTATGACACACACTGACCACCAGGGAGCAGACGCTCAATGCAAGAGCTGCCCCCTGGTGGTCAGTGTGCTCCCACAGGGTGAGCTCTGCTCAGCCAAAAGCCAGGCTGACAGCTGCCAGTACAGTGGTGGTGATGGGAGCCACTCCCACCTCCTCAGCAGCTCTAAGGGTGTCCAACTGCAGCTTAGGCCTGCTCCCCACTGGCAAGTGGACATCTACCGAGGGCTCCCAGGCTGCCAGAGGGATGTCTGACTGCCAGCTTAGGCCCAATCCCCTGGGGAGTGGGCCTAAGCCAGAAGGTGGTCATCCCCCAAGGGGTCCCAGACTGCGAGAGGGCACAGGCTGGGCTGAGGGACCCCCCCGAGTGCACAAATTTTTGTGCACAGGGCCTCTAGTCTATACTTATAATAGGATAATATGCAAATTGGTCAGGACGCCGACACGTAACAACTGATAAGCAGGCTGTGTCCCCACCCCTGTGCCAACCCGGAGACATGAGACTAGTATCTCTGACCCCAGCAATGGGCCCCGGGATGTGAGGCTCGCATCCCTGCCCCTGCACTGGCCCGAGCACATAAGGCTCACATCCCCAACCCCATCCCCAGCCCTGGGATGTGAGGCTCGTCTCCCCGACCCTGGTAATGAGCCCAGGGATGTGAGTCTCGCATCTCTGCCTCTCTGTGCAGGCCCGGGAACATGAGCCTTGCGTTCCTACCCTCTCTAATTAATTCCCTTTTAATGCGCACAAATTTTGTGCACTGGACCACTAGTCACTTATAAAATGAAATAAAATTGTTCTTTATGATAAGGCAAAGCAGAAGAGAAAGCATTTGCTTAAATCTCAGCTAGCTTAAACATGTTTTATCAGGTTGTAGGAATTGAAGCCCCCAAATAAATGATTAAGTATTATTTTTAAAAGTCTTGTCAGCCCTAGCTGGTTGGGCTCGATGGATAGGTCCCAGGTTTGATTCTAGTCAAGGGCACATGCCCAGGTTGCAGGCTCGATCCCCAGTAATGGGCAAGTAGTAGGCAGCCAATCAATGATTCTCTCTCATCATTGATGTTTCTATCTCTCTCTCCCTCTCCCTTCCTCTCTGAAATCAATAAAAATATATTTAAAAGAAAGGTTTTTTTCAGTTGAGCATTGACCTATGAACCAGGAGGGCATGGTTTGATTCCCGGTCAGGGTACATGCCTGAGTTTCGGGCTCAGTACCCAGAGGGTGTGCAGGAGGAAGCCAATCAATGATTTTCTCTCATCATTGATGTTTTGCTCTCTTTTTCCCTCTCCCTTCCTCTCTGAAATAAATAGAAATATATTTTTTAAAAAGTATTTTCACTCATTTTTTCATTCATAAATTGATCATGCCTTAAATGTTTTGATTGAAAAAGGCACACTAATAGCTACATAAAAAATATTTTAAACAACCATGATTTGTTCAATAATGCTATGTAATGACCTGCCAGGATTTATAATACACTTTCTCTGGACATACCCCTACATTACAGAAAAGCAAGTTTGGATGGGGTAAAAGCAAGAAATGTAATATAATAAAGTGTGCTCATAAAAATTCCATATGGGGATTCAGGGAGGTAAAAACTAAGAAACATAAGCAAGCCAAAAACAAGCCGAGGAGAGTCAGATTAAAACTAGCAATAGATGAGATTCAGGGAATGGTTTTCCATGAGCCCATAAATACTTAAGAAGCAGTGGAGTACCCTATAGTAGATCTCTGGTGGACTTAGGACTTATTTCCCTATGACCTGCTTTGCTGTCATTAAAAATAATAATAATAATCCTATATAATAAAAGGGTAATATGCAAATTGACCCTAACAGCAGAATGACTGGGAATGACTGGTCACTATGACACACACTGACCACCAGGGAGCAGACACTCAATGCAGGAACTTCCCCCTGGTGGTCAGTGCGCTCCCACAGAGGGAAATCTGCTCAGCCACAAGCCAGGCTGACAGCTGCCAGGTGGTGGTGGTGGGAGCCTCTCCTGCCTCCTCAGCAGGACTAAGGGTGTCCAACTGCAGCTTAGGCCTGCTCCCCACTGGCAAGTAGACATCTACCGAGGCCTCCTGGGCTGCCAGATGGATGTCTGACTGCCAGCTAATACCTGCTCCCCCAGGGAGTGGGCCTAAGCCAGCAGTTGGACATCTCCTGAGGGGTCCCAGACTGCAAGAGGGCAAGGGCTGGGCTGAGGGGCCCCCCTGAGTGCACAAATTTTTGTGCACCAGGCCTCTAGTAATAATAATAATCTTCACTAATAAAAGAGAAAGGTGCAATGAAATTATCTTATACCTTCACTGTACCTTCACGACACCCACCAGCCAATCTGGAGTGAGTATGCAAATTAACCCAACAAAGATGGCAGGTTAATTTGCATTCATAGGCACCAAGTGGCCAGGGGCAGGGTGGGGCGGGACACAGGCATTCCGCACCACCCAGCTGCTCTGGGCCTCTGGGCAGCATGGGAAGGCAGAAAGTTGGCTCCGGGCCAGAGCGAAGGCATTGCCAGCAGCAAGGGAAGGAAGGCCCATTCTTGCACAAATTTTCATGTATCAGGCCTCTGGTAATAATAATAATTTCTTTAGAAACTTAGGCCATGCTGGGGAGTAGAATGTCCCCAGGTTCAGGAAGCAAAGTGACTTTCTCTGCTTAGAGACTGGAAGTTCTAATCCATCCCATCTATTTCCTTGCAGACAAGGTCACAGCCTGGATATGGCCTCAGAGATCCATATGCCAGGCCCAGTCTGCCTCATTGAGAACATCGAAGGGAAACTGGTAGTTAATCAGGAAGCTTTGGAGATCCTCTCTGCCATCACCCAGCCCCTTGTTGTGGTGGCTATTGTGGGCCTCTACCGCACTGGCAAATCCTACCTGATGAACAAACTGGCTGGGCAGAATGAGGGTGAGTGACAACAGCTAAGCTCTGCCGAGTCGTCCTTTTCACCCACACTCCCAGCATGAGTACAGAGTATGAGGAGAGAAAGTTAGAGATGGGCAGGAATATTGAAAAGGTAATGTCTGGGCCATAGCTGGCTAATTATCTTCTTGGAGGTAAAGGACAGAGGTCTGTTTCTGAAATATCACTTCTTTTTATTTTACTTAATAGCTTCTTGGAAAAAGCAAAATGTTTTCTAATCATAAAGAGGAAGACATCAATAAAACAGCATATCTATATATATCAAATTATAAACTATTAAAATTTTAGTAGCATAACATTCTTGTTTAAAAAAATCATCAAGTTTTCAACCTGTGGTGCCTGATACTCTTATTTTCCCATCTCTCTATTGCAGTTCAGATCAATAATGGTTATTCTTTGCTCCATCTCCACGTCTTGCTCTCCTTAAGCCCTAGCTCATTTGTCAAGAACATCTCTAATTTCCAGATCCCTCATCTATTACAACCTCTCTACTCCCCCTGCAGGCTTCTCTGTTGGATCCACGGTGCAGTCTCACACCAAGGGAATCTGGATGTGGTGTGTGCCTCATCCAGAGGAACCAAATCACACCCTGGTTCTGCTGGACACCGAGGGACTGGGAGATGTAGAGAAGGTGAGGAACAAGGATTCCTTTTTCATCAGCCTTCTCATCTCTGAACATTCTTTACAGAGGCTTTTTTTTTTTTTGGTACTTCCACTTGAACAGAGTATATCTGTATTTCCCTTTCTATATTTAATAGTCAAAGTTTGGAAACCTGAAGTGAGAAAAATATTTCTAAGCCAAAGTCATGTTGGAGAGACTCCACTAATGTGGGGCTAGACCATTAACCAAAATGCAGAAAGACAGTGCAAATAAAAGCACTGTCCCAAGTCTGATCCTGCAGAGAATAATGATTAGTACTCAGCTCTGGCTCAGAGTTCAAATTGGGGCTCTGGACCTGTGGCTCTCTGACTTTGATAAGAGTAAATCTCTTTATTTATTTTTTCAGGTTTCCACTCCTATTTGTTTCTTTTTTTAAATTTCTTTATTGATTAAGGTATTACATATGTGTTCTCATCCCCCTGTTACCCCCCCAACCCCCCACACTCATGCCCTCACCACCCTGTTGTCTGTGTCCATTGGTTAGGCTTATATGTGTGCATACAAGTCCTTTGGTTGATCTCTCCCCCTTACCCCCCACCCTCCCCTACCTTCCCTCTGAGGTTTGACAGTTTGATCAATGATTCTCTGTCTCTGGATCTGTTTTTGTTCATCAGTTTATGTTGTTCCTTATATTCCATAAGTGAGTGAGATCATGTTATATTTATCTTTCTCTGACTGGCTTATTTTGCTTAGCAAAATGCTCTCCTGTTCCATCCATGCTGTTGCAAATGGTAAGAATTCCTTCTTTTTCACCGCAGTGTAGTATTCCATTATGTAGATGTACCACAGTTTTTTAATCCACTCATTTGCTGATGGGCACTTAAACTGTTTCCAAATCTTTAAATCTTTGATTTTCCTTTGGTCTTACCTATCTTATCATTTGAACATACATGAGCTTTTCCCACCTCTTTGCTGTTAAGTGTTTATTTAACAACCAGCCTCCTGGGGGTGGGGAAGTTGAAAAAGCCTTGACTTGTAGTACTTGCCGATAATGTAAATGCCTCCCCACCCCCAACCCCCTCATAGCTAAGTCCAAGTTCCCAAAGTGAAGTCAGGAAACCCAGGGTTTGGAATTTCACAGTGAGCTCACAGTCAGCTCCTGTGGGCTGGTGTAAGCTGGCTCTAGCACACAACTGGATCTTTCCCTTGAACTTCCCTGTTTTTTAGTTTTTGTTTTGCTTTTGATTTAATATGAATTCATATGGTCCACCTCAATTTGTGCTTTAGTTTCCTCATTGGTAACATGGAGATAGTTATAAATTTATCCTACAGCGTTGTTTTGAGTACTAGATAAGATAATATAGACTGCCTTGTGTATAATAAATGCTCAGACCACACTATCCCAGGCAGAATGCTTAATTTCAACATCAGCCTGGAAGCTCGCCCAGAGGGTGTCTGCGGAAGGGCCATGCAGCAGAACTCCAGACCCACAGAGGGGTCTGAACAGATCACCCAGCAGTGAATCTGAGGGTCAGATTATTCTCTGAAAGAACTTTCAGCAGAGAGCAGGTTGGGGGCCAGACAGTGTGCCCTAGGAAAGAGGCGCCACCCTCCCCACCTCCCACAAAGAGGAGGCGCCCCCTCCCCCACTTGTGGAATGACTCTGAGCTGGAAATCTGCCCCTGGGGAATGGACATCTGGCCTGGTGGGAGCCTGGGCAGATGCCCTTCCTAGCGAGAGCCAGCTGTGCTGAAAGATTAGAGAGCCAAGCGGGGCTGGGGTGTTTTTGTTTGTTTTTTATCCCCTCCTGTTTGAGGTGGCCACAAGGGGGTGCTAGTGACCCAGGCAGAGCTGAGGCATTAGGAGGAGAGGAAGTGCCTGCCTATCCCTTCTATAAGCTAAGAGCATGGCGCCCCAAGGCAGCAGTCTGTTTAAATCATACTAACCAGGACCACTCCCCACAGAGTCCAGTTCCCTGGAGGAAGGGAGAGCAGTCCTGGAGCTGACTCAGCCCCTGGGCTAGGGAGGCCCTGCCCACCGATTACTTGGGGATCTGCCCTGCAGGTCTTCAGTCAGGTTGCCCAGGGCCAGGCAGGGACAGCAATTCTCCAGAGAACTGCCAGGGAGGCCTGAGGCCTCACACCAAGTGGCCAGATCCAATAACATTGGAGTAAAATCCAGCAAGCTTCACAAATAGCAAATGTAAAAGTTTTTTTGTTTTGGTGGGCTTTGGTTTTTCTTTCTCTTTTTTCTCTCTTTTTTTCATATTCTCTCATTGCTATATTTCAGTTGAGTCTATTTTGTCTCTTTCTCTTTACTTTTGTAAAATTTTTAATTTTCTTTCTCTTTTCTTTCCCTAGTTTTCTTTTCCTATTCTATATTTTATTTTACTCATTATTATTACTTTTTAGGTTATTATTATTTTATTTCTTTTTTTACCTTTTATTTTTCATAGTTATCCTATTTCTGGTCTCTTCCTTCTTTGCTTTCATATTCTCTCTTTTTTTTTTCTCTTTTAATTCTTTTGGTCTTGTGTCTTCTAGTATTCTTTCATGCAGGGGTGTTTTTTGTTTGTTTTTTTGAGTCTTTTTGATATGGTTGTTTTTATAGTTGTGGTTGTTTTTAAAAAATATGAAAATATGTTATTTTGGGTTTGGTCTGGTTTTGCCTTGTTTTGTTCTGTCAGCACCTTTATAAGAGTTGGCATGCTTGGTCAGGGTTGAGACTCAGTGTCAATAAAACTGAGGGCTGAGCCCACCTACAAATGGGACAATAGCAGTCACGACCCAAATTCAACAGAAGAGCTCACATAACCCATACCATAGTCATTCCTAGAGCACCAGCTCAGAAGATCAAGGAGACTGCACCACTGGGTCCCACAGGACACCTACTACATAAGGCCACCATCCAAGACTGGGAGTCATAGCATACCTACCTGAAACAGCAATCTTGAGAAAGAATAGCAAAGTTGGAGGGATCACAATACTGGATATCAAATTATACTACAAAGCCACTGCAATCAAAACAATCTGGTACTGACACAAGAACAAATAGACCAATAGAACAGAACAGAGCGCCCAGAAATAAACATGCACCATTATGGTCAATTAAGCTGTTTATTTTTTTAATCCTCATCTGAGGATATCTTTTTCCATTGCTTTTCAGAGACCGTGGAAGGGAGGCAGGGGAGGCAGAGAGAGAGAGACAGAGACAGATAAACATTGATGTGAAAGTGACACATCCACTGGTTGCCTACCACACGAGCTCAAGCGGGGGTAGGGAGCAAACCCACAACCAAGGTATGTGCCCTTGACAGGGAATCAAACCCGAGACCCTTCAGTGCTGGGGCCAATGCTGAACCACTGAGCACACCAGCTAGGGCTGGTGAATTAATTTTTGAAAGGAGGCAAGAACATACAATGGAGTAAAGGCAGTATTTTCAATAAATGGTGTTGGGAAAATTGAACAGATACATGAAAAAAATATGAAACTAGACCAACTTACATCATACACAAGAATAAACTCAAAATGGGTAAAAGACTTAAATGTAATTCAAGAAACCATAAGAATACCAGAAAAACCATAGCCAGTAAAATCTCAGACATCTCATGTAGCAGAATTTTCTTACATCTTCTAGGGCAGAGATGGCGAACCTTTTGAGCTCGGTGTGTCAGCATTTTGAAAAACCCTAACTTAACTCTGGTGCCGTGTCACATATAGGAATTTTTTGATATTTGCAACCATAGTAAAACAAAGATGTATATTTTTGATATTTATTTTATATATTTAAATGCCATTTAACAGAGAAAAATCAACCAAAAAAATGAGTTCGCTTGTCACCTTTGACACGCATGTCATAGGTTCACCATCACTGTTTTAGGGCAAGAGAAACAAAAGAAAAAATAAAAAAAATGGGACATCAAACTATAAAGTTTCTGCACTGCAAAAGAAGCCATCACCTAAATCCGTGGTTCTCAACCTTCTGGCCCTTTAAATACAGTTCCTCATGTTGTGACCCAACCATAAAATTATTTTCATTGCTACTTCATAACTGTAATGTTGCTACTGTTATGAATCATAATGTAAATATCTGATATGCAGGATGGTCTTAGGCGACCGCTGTGAAAGGGTCATTCGACCGCCAAAGGGGTCAAGACCCACAGGTTGAGAACCGCTGACCTAAATGAAAAGAGAACCCAAGTATCAAAGAACAAATTCGCCAATAATATATCTGGTAAGAGGTTAATTTCCAAAATATATAAAGAACTCATACAACTCAACAAAAGGGAAACAATACAATTAAAAAATGGGCAAAGCATCTGAATAGACACTTCTCCAAAGAGTATATACAGGTGGCCAAGCGACATATGGAAAAAATGCTCAACATCACTAATCATCAGAGAGATGCAAATTAAAACTGTAATGAGGAACCACCTCACACCTGCCAGAATGGCTACCATCAACAAATCAATAAACAACAAGTGCTGGCAACGATGCAGAGAAAAGGGAAACCAGTGTACTCGTGGTGGGAATGCAGACTAGTGCAGCCACAATGAAAAACAGTACGAAGTCTCCTCTAAAAATTAAAAGTGGAACTGCCATTTGTCCCACTTCTGGGAATATATTCTAAGAATCCCAAAACACCAATCAGAAAGAATATGTGCATATTTTGAGTGTTGCTTTGTGGGTGCCAGATCTGCAGTGCCATTTATTTTTAAATGGCCAATGTGCATCATGGCAGCTCCTGCATTGAGCGTCTGCCCCATGGTGGTCAGTACATGTCATAGCGACCAGTTGGATGGTCAGACACTTAGCATAACAGCTTTTTATATAGAGAGATATGCATAGTCCAAGGACACAGACAATAGTGTGGTAAAGGCCTGGGGTGGGGTAGGGTCTGGGTTAAGGGGGGAAGTGGGGTAAAAATAAGGGACATATGTGATATTACCAACAATAAAAAAAAACCTTTAAAAAAAGCATCAAATGATCTGGGATCCAGAGAGACAAGTCATCCCAAATCTAAGGAAAATACCATACAGTACATAAAATTTATGTACACTGAAATTTTATTTTACATAGAGTTTAATGCATGTTTTATAATTGATTAATATTTATAAACAAACAAACTCCAGTTTAATCAAAATAAACTTTCATTTTTATGGTAAGTAGTCTTTTCCTAAAAATTAACTTATATAACTTGTTTGGAAAAAAACTATACTATATTGGCCATTTTGTAAATATGATAATTAATACTACATGTTGTACAAACCTCCAGATTTCAGTGGCTTTTTTTTTGACAAATGCCTTTATTGCAAAGCTGCATATATTTTTAAATTAAAATAGAACATTTAAGAAGATAATAAAATATTACTGTTGACTTAGATTACCATATATAATGATGACCAAAGTCTGAGAAATGTAGGCTGATGAAAACAATCTGAGTCAAAGATACAACTCTTATGGACAGCATTTCTTTCACAGCTGCTAAGAGAGAATCGAACATTCTGTGACTATAGAGAAGCCCACATTTCTTGGTGAGTGCAGCAAGTCTTGTGTTCTTTACATGTGGAGGAATCGTCCAGCAGGAGCTGACCCCTGTGTACAGCATGTGGAGGAGGAGGAGTCCAGCCTAGTGGAGTGTAGAGAGCACCTGAGAAGGCACATGGGCATTTCTTTAGTTATTGTCAGCTGAATCCAGTGGTATTGGCAAAGCCACGTCCTGGAGACACACTTTGCCAAAAGGCAGGAGTGTTGTCAGCTTGACCTTCAGCCCAGGTGCCAGGGAGTAGGTTTTGTTATTTAAATCCAGCCAAGCACCAGGAATGAATACGACTCCAGCCTACCCAAGAATGCACATAATCTCCTATGTCTTGACTTTTAGTGAAACTTCCTGTTTTTTGCTGTATAAAATAAACACGCTGTATTGGCTCTGGGTCCTTGTTCCTGTTTCTCCATCAGAGGACAGTGTTTCCACCCAGCCCCAGCTTTTTCTTTCCATCTCTGTGTCTGTCTCTTTCTTTCATTTTCTCAATCTTGAGCCGCCCCTACTCAGGAACCTGACCACTCTCTAGCCGTGCTGGACATGGAGAAGAGAGAAATATTCACAGTAGAGGAGGAGGAGTTCAGCCTAGGGATGCATCCACTAGTCTCAGGGATCCTCAGGTGGAGGTGGAGGCAGGCAGCACAGCAGGCAGCTGGAGAGGCCCAAGTGGAGAGGAGGGAACAGTGCCGCTTTAGGACCCAGGTCCACCTCTGAGGAGGGGACCATCAGGGTGTGGCTCCTGGCATCCTGGCAGGTTTGGAACAGCAGCTTGTGAAGTGGAGATTTTCAAGGCCTATTCCAGGTACCTGAGGGTCTTTAGCATCTCCACCATCTCCTCCTCTTGTCTGGAGTGTTTGGATCTCTCTCCCTTCAGTTCGTGAACCAGGGATGTAATTTCCTGCTTCAGCGCCCAGTAGGTCGTGGTCACCTTTCTGCAAGCGTGAGCAAGGCACGGTATATTTGATTACGCTTTCTCATGCCTGTCATTGCCTAAGATGACTCTATCCCCTTGCACTTCTCTTTAGCCGCGCTCAACTTAATGAGTTGGCATTTCTCCTCCATCTGTCCAGCCAGTGCCTTTGTCAGGTGCACTTCACATCTTACATAGGTGGACTCTGAACAGATGGAACAAATCTGATTATAAATACGAGACCCACCAAGAAGCCTTTGACAGATGGACACACCAATATCTCCCACTGGAGGACGTGGACAGGGAGGCGTGGACTCTGGCCATTGGGCAGCAGCCCCATAGCCTCCTCACCCAAGAAAGGGCCCTGAGCCCAGCTCTATAGAGGACCACAGCACCTTCATAGACCATCAATACAGAACAGCTGGGTCACCATGGAGCCTCTAGCCACAATAGAACTGATGACACCCCAACGTTCCACCTGGAACCAGCCAGCAAGGGCGACCCTCATTGGTCATCAGTGATATGGTTGAGATAGGGGAAGATTTGTAAAAACATATGCCAAAAGTCCAATGACATTCAGTAGTCATTACCATGTATGTTTTTGTATCAGTATACATTAAAATATAGTGATAATAGCATAAAAAATTATCAGTGTTAATGACAGAACTATTCTATTCAAAGTGATATGTTTTTCACAATAATTTTTGTTTGTTCATTTAACCTTGTAGATCAGGGGCTTATTTTTAATAATTGCTCATCTGGGAATGCCATGAGACATGACTTAAATTTGTTTTTATTTCTAGGGTGACCAGAACAATGATACTCAGATCTTTGCACTGGCAATACTATTGAGTAGTACCTTTGTTTACAACACCATGAACAAAATTGACCAGAGGGCTCTTGATCTGTTGCAGTATCCTTTTATGATCCAGAATGGCACCAAAGCCAGAGAAAATTCTTCTATCCATCAGCTGTGTTTATGAACCTTTTGAATCAAACACAAAAATAAAAACGTGATAAACATTAAAAGTACAACAAAAACAGCTCATATACTTACTGATGTTATGAAGAATTGGTTACAACCAAAAGAGAACATAATGGTATAAGAATGTAAGGAATGCAATATGGGCTTAGATGCAGTCCTATTTCCAACCAGTTTTCCTTAATTATATCTCAGTTATGTAATAGAACTGTCAAATCAGCTCAGGACAGTTTCTCCACCTGATCTTGATGGAGTTGAAGATGCAGCTGATGCTGTGAGCTTCTGTCCAGACTTAGTGTGGACTCTGAGAGATTTCTACCTTTCCTTGGAAGCAGATGGGAGACACATCACAGCAGATGACTACCTGGAGAACTCATTGAAGCTGAAAGAAGGTAACAGGGACTTCAGTTCTGGAAAGAGAGAGAGAAGAATATCTCTATGTGTAAGTGGTTACATTTATAGTTTTCTATATTTAATCACTTGGTTAAAATGCCAAGTAAATAATGAACACTACTAATTTAAAGTGAACTAATAGATTCAATATGAGATTGTATTACTCAATGTTCTTGGAGCAAATTACCTTTCTTTCTTCCTTTCTCTGATGGGTTACCTTTTAACTTTTTGCTTAGAGTTTGTGGAGATGTGTTGAAATAGATAACATCACATTAAAGGCAAATTTATTCATGGGAAATACACTAAAATGAATGCTAGTTCTATACTAAATAAAGTCAATTTTTCCTTCCCCAGACACTGATGAAAATCATCAAAATTTCAATTTGCCCCGTCATTGCATACAGACATTCTTTGCAAGAAAGAAATGCTTTGTCTTTGACTCTCCCACTCACTGGAAGAAGCTTGCCCATCTTCCGACACTGCATAATGATGAACTGGATCCTGACTTTGTGCAACAAGTGGCAGATTTCTGTTCCTACATCTTTCACCATTCCAAGGCAAAAACTCTTTCAGGAGGCATCAAGGTCAATGGACCTCGTGAGTACCTTCCTTAGGATTTTCCTTCAACTCAACATAAAGAATGGGGCACTGTTAAAAGTTTCTCCTTTCACTGTCAATGTTGAAAATCCTTCATTAGTTACAACCAAGAAAATTATATACATCACATTATTAAGTTCCAATGGGTACCCAAAACATTCCTACTGATTTTTTAGTAATGCCTCTAATGTAGTATAAAATAGAAATACCATCTGAAGAAAAGATCAAGTTAAGGAGTTCTATTCATAAGTGGTCCATTGTTGGACTAGACCAACCACATGAGTTGGCAACATTTATTCCATGAATATAATGGATACTTATTATGTGTCACAGCCTTAGATAAGCACAAGATAACATATAGGTTCTCTGTAAAAATGGAACGTACTTGATATAAACATTAATTAAACAGAGGCTCAGGTTGTCTAGAGCTTTAAAGGAAATCTAAGCAAACATCTTGGACCAGATTTTTTTTATAAAGACACCATGCCTCAGAACTCTATGAATGATTGCTATACTCTTGAGCAATGATTTTCAACCAGTGTGCCTCAATAATTCTTAAAACATGTAATACCTGACTGTTTAGTCAGGGGCACTGACTTCATTTCCTTTAGAATGTCAAATAAAAATATGGCAATAGTCAACACAATAGCCAACCACTATGAATGATTCTAAATTATACCTTTTTTTTTGTCAGATCAGGAAAAAAAAACATATTTTGGTGTGCAGCAGAATTTTAGTAATAGTGTATGTGTGCCATGAGATGAAAAAGGTTGAAAATCACTGTTCTAGAAGGATGGTGAATGCAAACAAAAGTATGCAAGGGATAAGGGAGACAAATAGGAAAGTTCTAACAAAGAGTAAAAGGTGAGCCAGTCTAATTTGCTCACTTTGTGTTTTTTCAGCTAATACTCATACCAGCTTTACATACTGAAGTGGAAGAGAAAAGGGAATTCTGAAGGAAAATGAAACCTGAGGAAGAGGGAAAGAAAGGAAAGAATAAAGAGGCCAGAAAGGCCTATAGCAATCTAATAAAATGAATAGGCATAACTTTAACCATTTCCTCATTTCTCAATAGAAAAAGGATGGCATTAGGATTATTATATACAGCTTGATGTTTCTCCTTTGAATACTTTCTTTTCCCAAAGAAAGATCTGGCTTCTTAGTCACACAATTTCTAAAAACAAAACAAAACAAGCAAACAAACAAAAAACATATTTTAGCCACTTGAACACTATGCAGAATACTGAAAAAGCTCAGGCAATGCATTGTCAAATTAACATTCTCAGAACTATCCAATTTTAGAGCATGCCCTCTTTTTCTGCAAATAATGCAAGCATCTCTTTCTCCTGTGAAGGTCTAGAAAGCCTGGTGCTAACCTATGTCAATGCCATCAGCAGTGGGAACCTGCCCTGCATGGAGAATGCAGTCTTGGCCTTGGCCCAAATCAAGAATTCAGCTGCAGTACAAAAGGCCATTGCCCACTATGACCAGCAGATGGCCCAGAAGGTGCAGCTCCCCACAGAAAACCTCCAAGAGCTGCTGGACCTGCACAGGACCTGTGAGAAGGAAGCCATCGAAATCTTCATCAATAATTCCTTCAAGGATGTGGACCAAAACTTCCAGAAGGAATTAGAGGTAATTAATATGCTTTGCCCTGGCTCCTGGGGCTTACATGTAATACAAGTATTGCTATGAAATGCAAAATGGGGACTTAAGAAAAGCAATTTTTACTAGACTGCAAAATAATGAATCTTACTTATATGAACAAGATATCACTTTTATTCTGACAACAAACAAACAAGCAACATGTAACTACTCTGGGTTGTATGGATTTTAATACTTTCACACACACACAACTCACCATGTTACACCCATGAACTAATTTTTTAAATTAATCTTATTCTTTAAAAATTGCATTCATAAAGTATTAATTAACTTTTCTTTTATATTAATCTAGTACACAGAATTGCCAAATGGTTCTACTAAAATATCATGTCTCCAGGTTTAATAGTATCCACTCATATCATTCTAGCTAATTATTCCACTGCCCTTCCTTGTTGGGAATCCAAGGCCCAGGAAAATACAGAAACAAGGAATGGTCATAAATGAGTAGGTTGTATACAAAATTAGGGTCTGAGGTTAGATATCTGTAGTCTGAAGATCACATCTAAAGCAGACGTATCAAGAGAAATGAGTTTCAGGAGATTTGGAACACAAAACTAAAGTCATTTTTCTATACCATAACATCCTTGGACCTTTCCTAGGCTTGGTAGGGAGGATATAGTCTTGCTGTTGTTCTCTAGTTTCTAGAAAATCAATAGAGATTCTTTCTGAGAATCACTTGTAGAAATACTGAAGTATTGCTAACATCTTTTCCATGGGCTTTTGTCCCTTTGAAGACCCTGCTGGAAGCAAAGCAAGATGACTTTCGTAAGCAGAACTTGGAGGCATCATCAGATCGTTGCTCAGCTTTACTTCAAGATATCTTTGGTCCTCTAGAGGAATATGTGAAGCAGGGGGTTTACTCAAAGCCCGGAGGGCACTGCCTCTTCATTCAGAAGAGAGAAGAGCTGAAGGCAAAGTACTATGAGGAGCCCAGGAAAGGAATACAGGTGTTCCTTGTTTCAAGCATTAATTGTGGGAAATTGTTCGGGGTTTGGAGTGGGGAAGGGCTTCTTTCAAAATCCAGTGAAGACAGGAAGAAAGTATTTATACTCTAATGATAGCTGTAGGATTAAACTGAACTATGACCATAATCACCAGACTTTTACTGCAACCATCAACATTCACTGCAACAAAGGGACTTTTTTGGCTACATAGGACAGAATTGCAGTAATTGAAACGAACAGGAAAAAAGTAATTCATTGGCTTACATAAAACATTTAAATTTAGTTGCAACTACAGCTACATTCAGGAATTTAAACAATGTCATCAATTTCCCCCTTCCTTTTTTTCTTTCCAACTCCTACTTAGTTTTCTGTTCTGTTTTCCTAATGGCTTCATTCTCAGGCATGGCAGCAAAGAGGACACCAACATCTCCAAGCGTAACTAGATCTTTTGCCCTCAGTCTCAGAGGAGAGAGAGCATTTCCCCAGCACCCGTATCTGTCTCTAAAACATCCATGTTGAGCATTTTCTCACCTGAACTTGGGTGAACTTGGGTGCTCTGATGAGCCAGCCCAGAGTTTGTGCCCACTCCTGTGAAAAAGAGGCTTGATTGACAGTTCCACGGAGTGCGCGCTGAGCAGTTCTGGGGAGGAAAAGATGCTGGGAAGAAAAATAAATAAAAAGGTTTACAACATGCCCAATCACCGTTTCCTACTTTTAACTTCATGGCTTTGGGGTCCTAGGCTGAAGAAGCTTTGCAGAACTATTTGCAGTCCAAGGAGTCCGTGAGTGATGCCATTCTATACACAGACCTGGTTTTCACCGCCAAGGAAAAGGAGAGGAAAGGTGAGAAGAAAATGGAAGAAATGCAAGATAGAACTTTCTGTACATTTTCAATTAATTTGGCCTGGCTTACCTGGGATCTTAAACTAGAGCAAGAACGGCAAAGATGACTTTTAGCTCGTCAAGCTTTATCTGGGTGGGTGTGTACTGTCATCTGAAAAGGCAAAATGGCCCCAGAGAATTTTCTCTATGAAGTAATAATAAGCAATAAGCAATAAGAACAGGAGACAGAAGGAAGGGACACTTTAATCCTAGAGGAGTTTGTCATTTTCTTCTTTCTTAGAAGCATATTTGAAAGCAGAGGCTGAAGCACGAAGGTTGGAGGAGATTCAAAGGCAGAACCAGCAAATGATGGAGGAGAGGGAGAGACAGCATCAGGAGCAACTGAGACAAATGGAGATACACAGAGCCCAACAGCTGGCACAAGAACAGATGGCTTGGGAACATTAGCTCCAGGTATACTTACCCGTTATTTCATCTCACCATTTTAATCACATCTCCCTCTTTGTATTGATAAGAGCACGAAACTATAACAAAGAGGGAGAGACAGCATAACTTTATGGCTCAGGGCAAGGACTCTGGAGTCAGACAGCCTGGTAAGAATCCTAGCTCCACATCTTACTAAATATATGGTTTGGGCAAGTTATATGTCCCTTCTGTGCCTTAGTTTCCACTTGTGGAAAATGGAGACAGTATTAACACTTCTTTTACAGGGTAATTTAATAATTATGTGAGTAAATATTTGTGTTTAGATTAGTGCTGAGCACAGAATAAGCACTTTACTTTGTAAATAAGGATATTTCTAACTCACAGTAGTTTTTTTTGTTAAGTGGTTAATTGCTATAGACAATCTTTTCCTTTGGTCATAGATTACTTTGTTAAATTGATTTCATATTACTGTGTCTATGTCCCTGCCTCAATTGTCACTGGTTCTGAGGCTTTTAACTTGCAGGGTTTGTTTCATTCAAGCCCTCAATAAGCAGTAGTTCCTACGTAGCAAGTAGTGTACAAAGTACTTTATGCGCATTCTCTCATCTAATCTGTTCATTGTGAAGCAGAACCATTATGTCTCCTTAAAAACACTAGGTTCCAAAGAGATAACTAAATGTCATATCACACAGCCTAGAAAGTTATCCAAACTGCTTTCCCAGAGAATGAGAACTGCAGTGGTTTTTATTCTGCAAACCTAGTATGAATTCTTATGTGAACACTTCCCCCAGGGTGACCAGTCTACCTGTAGGTCCTAGTTTTCCAGAAGCTCCAAGACATTTTCGTGAATATAGATCTACACTAAAGAGCAGATGGTCAACCTGGGGTTCTTGCTCTCCTCAGTCTTTCATCCACTCCTGCCCTATAACTGTGGAGACTGGAAACAAATTCCCTGGTCTAAGGCTCAGACGCCTCACCTGATTGTGGTTGTCACTTAGACACCCAGTTGTTGTATTAGCCTTTCCTCAAAGCATTAGATCTGACATTCCTCTGTGTAGAAATGAAAACTGAAGTCAAGATGTCACTCAGATTGCCCAAGGAGGAAGGGAGAAGGGACCTCAGGATGCAATTCTTGAAACACCAATCCTTCAGGAATTGAGAGATGGTGATGTCTCTGCAGCTAGAGAAAGAGATATGGGAGAATTATTCAGGTAGGAAACCAATCATGAGAGGTAAACTGGGCATGAATAAAAAGGAGAATTTAGGGACTGGCCTTTGTTACCGATGGCTTAAAATAAGTGAGGCTATGCCCTAGCCAGTTTGGCTCAGTGGATAGAGCATTGGCCTATAGACTGAAGGGTCCTAGGTTCGATTCTGGTCAAGGGCACATGCCAGGTTGTGGGCTCGATTCCTAGTAGGGGGCATGCAGGAGGCAGCTGATCAATCATTCTCATCACTGATGTTTCTGTCTCTTTCTCCCTTTCCCGCCCTCTCTGAAATAAATAAAAAATATATTTAAAAAAATAAGTGAGGATACTCAATGATTTTGGCTTATCCTCCCCACCCCGCACTCCCAGTGATGTGGACATTACTTTTTGTTAAGCTCTTTAGTTTTATTTGTCACTCTTCGGGAAGTGGCTGTAAAGCAGAGGGAGAGAGAACAGTCTGAAATGAGAAGACTTCAGAATGAGATTCAGCAACTACAGCAAGCAAAATCACGAAATGATGATTGTATCTTACTCTAAAGCTAAACATCTGAACTTCTTTTCATGTTCACGTTTCACTGAAGATAGAAAGAAACAAGACACTATAAAACATGGGACAATTACCATTTAAATAAATGTTATAATAATTATATCAAACTTTTGTATTGTTATAAAGTTATGATGCCCATAATTGGTAAAATGTGCATTTCAATAGTTTCAATGATGATTACTTCCTTGAAAAGATTATGAATTGTATAACTAAGAACATTTGATCACTGCATTTATTTGGTAGAAATAGTGGGCTGGTTCTCTCAGGGGAAACTTCCTCTTCTACCTCAATGCCATCCCTCTAATTTTCTCAGGGGGGATTGAAAGTGACCTAGGGGGTGTGTGATTCACAATATGCTCAGTCAAATGGGACTTGATCAACATCTTGAACTCACTAAGGTGGGCAGCACTCTTGTCAAGTGGTCATGTGCTGGATGCCATTGCAGGGAGTCATCACTTTACCTAGCTTCTTAGCAGCGACAATGTTCGGCTCTCAACTGTGTGGAGGAAGTCAGTCTATGGGAAGTGATGTGACTACTGGTCATGCTCAGTAGAGATTGCTTAGAGAGAGTCTAAACTGTAAGCAAATAACACTATAACGAAATAGAGTTGCTCTAGAGAAGTTAGAAAGAGCTTTGGGTATGGAAATTGTGTCATAGGCCAAAGAGCTAAAGAAGCCTTTCCTTTATGTTATCCTCATCAAGGACATAACTTAAACAGGACTTTTTATATCAAAAAGCAGTTTATACTGAATTAAATGATTGTGTGCTGTGTCTTTATAATCCTTTAGAGCCTATAAATAAATTGTCTAAGGAATGCTAGATAATGTGCCAAAATATCTGATGGGGCTCATTTTATTTTATGATTGCTTATAATGTTAACGTTAAACAATCTCAATTTTTTTGCAATCATATATGAAAACCTACTGATTTTTCTTAATATTTGTAATTTGTATACATATATATTTGTACATATTTTTAAACATAAAGAACCATAAAAAGTTTTAAATAACTCTACCACTTTGTTTCCCCAATTGTGAAAAGTCTATGGGGAGGCCTCCTGAATTGCTCTATGGAGATTAAGAATTACTCTAAAGAGTGAAAATAAAACACATTTTATTACATATTTTTATTTGCTTTCTGTTTCTTTGTTTTATCTCCACTAAAATAGGCTTCAAAAGTTATAGAATAATTACATAAATCTCTATTTTTATTTTCCTTAAATTGCCTACCTACTTAAATAAGGAATTTCCCAGTTGAGTTATATGATAGGAACTTAAGCTTTTTCAGTTGCTCAAAATATAACTTACATATTTACAAAAGAAAATGATAAATTTTAATCTTTGTCTTTTTTTCTGTTCTTAAGAGATGTTCATTATGCTGACTTCCCATATCAATAGGCTTGGTGGTGCTCAACTGTATGTCTAGATTTAAACTGAACTTCAGAAAGTACCAAAGGCCACAGCATGCTCGCCTGAGCATTTGCTTAACAGTACCCTATAATAGCCTTTGCGAGCTGTATAACTCATAAAAGATACAATAAAGTACATCTTAATATCCAAGGAAATGCCTGGTTGAAAAGAACAACACTATCTTCAAAATAAATACCAAATTTATTACTACCTCTGTTATAGAAATTCAAAACACACACACACACACTCACACACACACACACAACTTGAGACTAAGAAAAATCGTCAGTTATCTAAGGTTCCAAGCTTGGTACTATTAACTTAGACCATATTACATATCATCTGATTTCTAGCTCAATACTTCTGTTATATCTTCAGGGGAAAAATAAAGTTTTTCTCCTTTCTGTTAGACCCTCAGAGGTGCATATTGTTTTCACCAGTGATTCACATTCTTTCCTACCAGCATTTTTGGCCTCCCCTCATCCCCAAATATTTTGATCTCATATGACTCTCTTATGAGATGGTCATCAGGTACAAAATGACCAGAAAAGATGAACATAAGACAGTTGCTTGAAGCTACCAAGAGCTAGACTACATTTTCTGACGTTTACAGTGCTGCTTCTGTGAGGTCAACTGATAAAGTTTTGAATGCAAAGGCATGGAAACAGATTCTTCCCTACAGCCTCTATAAGAATGGCAGTCCTGTTAACACCTTGATTTTAGCCCCTTGAGATTCTTAATTTCAGAATTGCAAGATAATTAACTTTATGCTGTTTTAAGCTATGTGTAGTACTTTGTTACAGCAGCAATCAGAAACAAATATAACTATAATTAATATTATCAATAGTTACTGAGACTAGCTAATATTAATTCAGAATTTATTGTGTGCCAGTTATGAGTTTTAATAATGTATTTGCTGTTCATAAGGACTCCATGAATTATAATTAACAATATCTACACTAATAAAAGACAAACATGCAAATTGACTATACATTCGCTATGCCTGAAGCCATACCCATCAGCCAATCAGAGTGACTATATGCAAATTAACCCAACCAAGGTGGCAGCCGGCAGCCATGGAGCTGGAGCAAGCAGGAGGCCTGGTTGCCCCAATGATGGAGGTAGCCAAGCTTCCCTCTCGCCCACTCTGGCCAGCTCTGAGCTCCTCTCAAGGCTACAAAGTTTCAATTATAGAAGGTAAATAAATCCCAGAATAAAAGAAAAAAGAAAAAAAGAGGCTTGGAGCTTCTGTCCCCGGGGGGCTTGGCCAGCCTGAAAACGGCCCTCAGCCCCTCACCCAGACTGGCTAGGCACCCCAGTGGGGACCCCCCACCCTAAAGGGGGTGTCGCCTGCCTGAAAACAACCATCAGCACCTCACCCAGGCTGGCCAAACCTCCATGGGGTAAGGGTCCCCACTGGGGGGGAGGGGCTTGACCAGCCTGCAAAGAGCCATCAGCCCCTCACCCAGGCTGGCCAGGCACCCCAGTGGGGACCCCCACCTTGAAGGGGTGTGACTAGCCTGCAAACAGCCATCAGCCCCTCACCCACTCTGGCCAGGTGCCCCAGTGGGACCCTCACTGTGATCCTGGACACACTTCAGGGCAAACCAGCCAGCCCCCACCCGTGCAGCAGGCCTCTATCCTATATAATAAAAGGGTAATAAGCAAATTGACCCTAACAGTAGAACTACTGGGAATGACTGTTCACTATGACACACACTGACCACCAGGGGTGAGATGCTCAATGCAGGAGCTGTCCCCTGGTGGTCAGTGCACTCCCAGAGGGGGAGCTCTGCTCAGCCATAAGCCAGGCTGATGGCTGCCAGCATAGCGATGGTCACGGGAGCCTCTCCAGCCTCCTCAGCAGCACTAAGGATGTCCGACTGCAGCTTAGGTCTGCTCCCTGCTGGTAAGTGGACATCCCCCAAGGGCTGCCTGGCTGCCAGAGGGATGTCTGACTGCCAGCTTGGGCCCAATCCCCCAGGGAGCGGGCCTAAGCCCACAGGTGGATATCCTCCAAGG